AGTAGGTTGGTAAACAGCAACCGCCCAGGGAGGTACTACCGTCCTGCCAAGTGAGTGTAAAACGAAAACCTGTAATTGTTTTACATGATGGTAAGATTGCTGGTGTCCTTTTTTCTGTTTCATAAACATGCAAGATTTCAGGTACGTCTTGCTACTTCTACTTACACTTAGGTCACACTACACATACATGTACAAGCATATAAATACACACCCCTCTGGGTATTCTTCTATTTTCTTTCTAGTTCTTGTTCTTGTTTATTTCCTCTTATCTCCATGGGGAAGTGGAACAGAATTCTTCCTCCGTAAGCCATGCGTGTTGTAAGAGGCAACTAAAATGCCAGAAGCAAGGGGCTAGTAACTCCTTCTCCCATATAAATTACTAAATTTAAAAGAGAAACTTTCGTTTTTCTTTTTGGGCCACCCTGCCTTGGCGGGATACGGCTGGTGTGTTGAAAGAAAGAAAAAAACTACCTAACACAACTGCCTGCTAATACTTTGAAGAAAACTGCTCAGATGAGGTGTTTTGTCTTTGCACATAAAAAAAAAAGTCCACAAAAATGCACACACACTGGTTTTACGTGTGAGGAGTGTAAAATACCATTGTGTATAAAACAATGTTTCAAAGATTTACACAAGCTGCAAAACTTCTAGGAATATGTCCAGTGACTGTATATTGGTATATATATTATAGAACAATGGTAATAAAAAATTTTTTTGTATTGTTTGCTTTTGTAAACAAATTTTGTAAACAATATATTGATAATTATGTTTGTGTGCTTATTGTGTTGTATACGAGTGTATATATGTACATTGCACCTTACTTTGGTCTCACAGGCCACATAAGTTATGTGAAAAAATAAAATAGTGAAAAAACAACAAACCTTCAAATACAAGTAAACCAAAGTTTACCGGGTGAGCGGCAGTCACCGCTGTTGCCACATGCGGCTCATTTTCTGCAAACTTCACGCCTCTATATCTCGGTAAGTAATGATGGCAAAAATGTTCTTTTTGGACTAAAACAATTAGAAAAATAATCTTAACATTTTCATAAGAAAAAATAATTTTTTTTTTTAATATTTTGCGACACGAGGAGACACTTCAGGATTGGGCCTTTCGACAGTCAAAGGGTTAAATGCTTAATATATAATGTGAGTGGGGTGGCCAGATGGGGTTACGATACCTACCACACTTCGATACCTACCTACCCTACTATTCACCTTGCACCCTATATTAACCCTTTGACTGTTTTGGTCGTATATATACATCTTACGAGGTACTGTGTTTGATGTATATATACTTATAAATTCTACCGGCTTCAAATCAAGCAGGAGAAAGCTGGTAGTCCCACATGTGAGAGAATGGGCCTGTGTGGTCAGTGTGCACCACATAAAAAAAAATCCTGGAGCACACAGTGCATAATAAGAAAAAAAAATCCTACCGTTTTTTTTAATTAAAATGCTGACTTTGTGGTCTATTTTCGTATAGGATTTATGGTTGTATTCTCGTTTTCTTGGTCTCAATTGATAGAATGGAAAGCATATTATAGAAATAGAGGTGATTTTGATTGGTTTTACTATAAAAAGAACCTGGAAATGAAGCTCAAAGTAGGGGAAATGTTTGATTTTTGCTGATGTTCAAAAGTAAACAAATGATGTCATTGTCCAACAAATGTCCAACTAGCCATTCTAATATGCAGTCATGAATGGGTTGACATTATTTGTACAAATATTACAGTATTGCAGTAGTCTGCATAACAGTAAATCTTCTATTTTTTATATGAATAAAAATTCATAATAGAAAGCAAGAGTAATATCAGAGGGGCCTGGAGACGTGACTGATGAATAAAGAAAATGTTATTTCAGAGCCAGGAATGTCTGCATTGTTCATTCTGAACCTTATTTTGAAATTGTAATATCTTTTAACCCTTTCAGGGTTTCGGACGTACTAGTACGGCTTACGCATCAGGGTTTTTGACGTACTAGTACACCTAAATTCTAGCGCCCTCAAATCTAGTGAGAGAAAGCTGGTAGGCCTACATATGAAAGAATGGGACTATGTGGTCAGTGTGCGCAGTATAAAAAAAAATCCTGCAGCACACAGTGCGTAATAAGAAAAAAAAAACTTTGACCTTGTTTTTGGATTAAAACAGCGACTTTGCACTGTATTTTCGTATGGTTTTATTGTTGTATTCTAGTTTTCCTGGTCTCATTTTATAGAATGGAAGACATATTACAGAAATTGAGATGATTTTGACTGGTTTTACAATGAAAAGTACCTTGAAATTGAGCTCTAAGTAGCAGAAATGTTCGATTTTTACCAAGGTTCAAAAGTAAACAAATCATGCTAAGCGTCCAATACACGTCAACTGGTGAGTCTAATATTCTTTCACAAGTGCGCTGATATTATTTATACCATTTCTACACTAATGAAGTACTCTGTATAACAGTAAATCTTCTATTTTTTGTGAAAATAATAATTCAAAGTGGAAAGCAAAAGAATGTTAGAGGGGCGTGAGGATGTGACTAGTGAACAGAGGAAATGCTATTTTAGTGCCAGGAATGTCTTTCTTGTTTATTCTGGACCCTATATGGAAATTGGCATCTTTTGAAATTTGTGTGAAATTGGCCAAGTTGATAAATTCTGACCACTGTATTGGATAGTTGAAATTGGTAAATGGGTGGTTTCTTGTACTCATTCGATAAAAAAAAAATGGAGTTCTAGTAAAATATTTGATTTCTGTCGACTAGTACATTGGAATTGACCGAAAATAAGGTTCAAAGTGGGCAAAATCGCCGATGCATAAACATTGTCGTGACCGCTAACTTCGCGAGAGTGTAATTCGATCAATTTTCCATCAAATTTTGTTTTTTTGGTGTCATTACAATCAAGAAAAGATTCTCTATCATTTTATAAGAATTTTTTTTTTTTTTTTTGTTGAAATTTTGTGACACCAGGAAACACCTGAGGATTGGGGGGTTGCGACAGTCAAGGGGTTAAGACCATTAAGACTAAAAATATTTTAAGGTAAGTAATGAGTGTACACTAAATGCACTTTATCACTCTAGGGCTCTTTAAATGTTGAAGTATATTACGTAGGGGTGGGTTTGGGTAGTTTGGCCTGGCTGGCTGCCATACCTACCACACCTAACTTCTTACAATAAACACTATTTACTTCTCACCCTACATTAAGACTACAAATATTTTGAGGTAAGTAATGAGTGTACTGTATGTATTTTACTTTTTTATGTTTTTTTAATGCCTTGTTCTATTGCTAACTTAATATATGTTAGTGTAAACTTATTATCTGACATTTATAAGTGGAAAAAAATGGTGTTCTGCTTTCCGGTGATGTCTGCTTTCCAGCAGTAGCCTGGAACCTAACCTGCCGTATAAGTGGGGCCCTACTGTACACACAACACCAAAAAACTCTCAATTTAAAATAGTTCATTATCTATTAATAATTTTAGGGGAAGGTATCTGGGTCAGATATGGAAACCTTGTTAGCTAATTTTACTAAACAAGCAATGCAAAAGCTTATATAAGCAGTTTTATTTTCATGGAGAGAGGTTTCTCTTAAGAATGAACCAGACAATGAACGAAGCAGTGATTGGATAAAATATAATATACCCACCAAAATCCAGCTGCTGACATGGAAATTAAGACAGTGGAAATAGTCTAGTGAACAGTATGTGTGAAGTAAATGTAATTCTATGATAAATAAGATGAAAAAAATATATAGAAATGGTCAAAATTAAGGAGGAAAATACTGGTATGATAATGTTATACAATGCATAGCCAAAATGTCATGACCTAAGAGCCATACAACAATTTTCTGTTGGGAAATGCGAAATACAAAGTTGCTAGATGACAATGAACATCTCTAGAGCAGTAGCATGAGAACTGGAAATTAGCCTGGATGTTGTCTCACCAGCTGTATTACATGTGCAAAAGAACCACACACAGCTTGAGAGCCATGGCCCATGGCCAGGCTCTGGGAGCAGACTCTTGAAATTCAATGAAGGTATATCAGAGCCATAGTTTATTCACGTCTGCTTTGCAAGTTTAGTACAGTTTATACGGGAAGTGGGTAATGCAAATTTAGTTACTGTTGATGAAATTAACCAATCTGACATGAAGCACAAAGCATTCTGCATATAACAAGAAATACACAGCATTCTACATACAATAAGAAACACACAGCATTCTACATATAACAAGAAACACACAGCATTCTACATATAACATGAAACACGACATTCTACATGAAACACAAAACACATAGCATTTTCCATTTAACATGATAGACATAGCATTCTGCATGTAATATGATATAAGGAGCTTTCTTTATACACCATGATGCATATAGCATTTTCCACATAGCACAACACACACATTATTCTAACATTTAACATGATGCAATGAGCATTCTAGAACTAACATGATGCACACAGCATTCTACTTGATGCACGTAACATCCTACTTGATGCACGTAACATCCTACTTGATGCACATAACATCCTACTTGATGCACGTAACATCCTACTTGATGCATGTAACATCCTACTTGATTCACGTAACATCCTACCTGATGCACGTAACATCCTACTTGATGCACATAACATCCTACTTGATGCACACAGCATTCTACTTGATGCACACAGCATTCTACTTGATGCACACAGCATTCTACTTGATGCACACAGCATTCTACTTGATGCACACAGCATTCTACTTGATGCACACAGCATTCTACTTGATGCACACAGCATTCTACTTGATGCACACTGTATTTTACTTAATGCACACAGCATTGTATGCATAACAATGCAAGTAACACTGTACATATAATACGATACACATAGCAGTCTATATGTAACATTTAATATATCAAGATGCCACCACTGAGACTAAATCAAATATTTTATGGAAATGCTAAAGAAGGAAGCCAGTAATTTAAGAGTTAAGCTACAACAGTCCACTGATGGCAAGTACAGACTCACCAAGACAGCTAACTCGCAAATCATAAAAGCACCGATTGTAGCCTCTTCGTGATTATCTTGAATGTCTATGTTGATTACATGAACCGGAGTATTCTCCTCTGGTATTCGTGCTTCTAAACCTGCAATACAAGATTGAAATGTATAATGGAACAAAAAAAATAATAATGGATAATATATAGAATGCATTCACACACAGAAAATAGCAAAAATTAATTCAGATACATTTTGCATGCATCTCATTCCTAAACCAAAAACATGTATTTATTAGAGTTCAGCTTTACAGGCTAGGAGTTGTTGCCCTAGGGGTCAGCCTAGGAAAGGTCAGAGGGAGGGGGTAAAGGAGGTTTTGTGTGCGAGGGGCTTGGACTTCCAGCAAACATACGTGAGCACATTAAATAGGAGCGAATGGAGACAAATGGTTTTTAGGAATTGGCGTGCTCTTGGAGTGTAAGCAAGGTAACATTTATGAAGGGATTCAGGGAAACCAGCAGGCCAGACTTGATTCCTGGAGATGGGAAGTACAGTGCTGGCAATCTGAAGGAGAGGTGTTAGTGTTGCAGTTTTATAACTGTAGTGTAAGCATGTCTCTGGCAAAACAGTGATTGAGTGAATGATGATGAAAGTTTTTCTTTTTCGGGCCACCCTGCCTTGGTGGGAAACGGCCGATGTGTTAATAAAAAAAATATTATATTAAGTAAAATATAACAATTATCAAAACATAATCTAACATTTGTTCAAGACAGATAGAACAATAATTGGCACTACCTTAACCCCTTGACTGTCGCAACCCCCAATCCTGAGGTGTCTCCTGGTGTCGCAAAATTTAAAAAAAAAAAAAATTATTTTTTCTTATGAAATGATAGAGAATCTTTTCCCGATTGTAATGACACCAAAAAACGAAATTTGATGGAAAACTGACGGAATTATGCTCTTGCGAAGTTAGCGACCTCGGGGCTGTTTACAAATCGGCGATTTTGCCCACTTTGAGCCCTATTTTCGGCTAATTCTGTTGTTCCAGTCGCCCAAACTCATAGCTATTTCTTTAGAACTCCATTTTTTCTATTGATTGAGTACAAGAAACTGCCCATTTACCGATTTCAACTACCTAATAATGTGGTCAGAAATTTGCAATTTGGCCAATTTCACGAAAACTAAAAAATATGACAATTTCAAAATAAGGTCCAAAATGAACAATGCAGACATTCCTGGCTCTAAAATAACATTTTCTTTGTTCATCAGTCATGTCTCCAGGCCCCTCTGATATTACTCTTGCTTTCTATTTTGAATTTTTATTCAAACAAAAAATAGAAGACTTACTATTATGCAGACTACTGCAATACTGTAATAATTGTATAAATAACATCAACCCATTCATGACTGCATATTAGAATGGCTAGTTTGACATTTATTGGACAATGGCATCATTTGTTTACTTTTGAACATTGGCAAAAATCAAACATTTCCCCTACTTTGAGCTCCATTTCTAGGTTCTTTTTATAGTAAAATCAATCAAAATCACCTCTATTTCTATAATATGTTTTCCATTCTATCAAATGAGACCAAGAAAACGAGAATACAACCATAAATACTATACGAAAATAGACCACAAAGTCGGCATTTTAATTAAAAAAAAACGGTTGGAGTTTTTTTTTTCTCATTATGCACTGCGTGCTCCAGGATTTTTTTTATATGGTGCACACTGACCACACAGACCCATTCTCTCACATGTGGGCCTACCAGCTTTCTCCTGCTTGATTTGAAGCCACTAGAATTTATGAGTATATATACGTCAAACACGGTACCTCGTAAGACGTATATACACGGCCGCAACAGTCAAAGGGTTAATTGAATACATGAAAAAATTTTTATTTTACTACTTAATTCTGCCTTACCATTTTACCTCAAGTATTTAACCCTTAAACTGTCCAAACATACATCTACGTTCACGTGTGTAGAGTTCCAAATGTAGATCTATGTTTCTTTTTACTTTCTTTCAAATGGAGAAAATATGGTCGGAGTGCTACGAGCGTGAACGTAGATCTATGTTTGGACAGTTTAAGGGTTAAAAGACAAAAAAGGGGAGAACCTTTACATGAAAGCGTATATCTAATAGCAAAAATTCTCTGTGTTTTTAGTCTTTTTATCACTACTTGTCAGCTGTTGCCATAATTTCACAACTTACCTTTACTTTCAAAATCACTTACTCACCCACAACCAAATAAATACTGAATAATTGTATCTCATAAATGTTTAACCTGTGACCCAATCAAACTTTGTTATTTTTAATTACATTACCTAACAGAATACTCCATTCTACTGAATGCACAGCAACACAATAAATGACCATATGACCTGTCTTTGAAATACTCTTTCTTCTTCTTTCAACACACTGGATGTATCCCACCAAGGCGGGGTGGCCCAAAAGGAAAAACAAAAGTTTCTCCTTTTACATTTAGTAATATATACAGGAGAAGGGGTTACTAGCCCCTTTCTCCCGGCATTTTAGTCATCTCTTACAACACACATGGCTTACGGAGGAAGAATTCTGTTCCACTTCCCCATGGAGGTAAGAGGAAATAAACAAGAACAAGAACTAGAAAGAAAATAGAAGAAAACCCAAAGGGGTGTGTATATATATGCTTGTACATGTATGTGTAGTGTGACCTAAGTGTAAGTAGAAGTAGCAAGACGCACCTGAAATCTTGCATGTACATGAGACAAAAAAAAAAAAAAAAAAAAAAAAAAAGACACAAGCAATCCTACCATCATGTAAAACAATTACAGGCTTCAGTTTTACACTCACTTGGCAGGACAGTAGTACCTCCCTGGGCAGTTGCTGTCTACCAACCTACTACCTAGGTTTGAAATACTCATTTGTGCTTAACTGTTAACTGTTTACAACAATGTTTACCACTGAATATATCATTGCTTAGTTAATCTTAAGTTAATTTTAAGCCTGCCCATAATGCTCTGCATACAAGGGGCTTTGGCATGGTACACTTAACCACTGTATTTCCTTGTACTTCTATGTATCATGTTCAAATTAATAAATAAATAAATTGAAAGGCTGGTATTATTGAATATATATAATACAGTACCAATATTATGTATACTACTGTGTCCTCAGAAATTTATAATCATACTTACATTCAAGAACTTGATCATATACTCGTTCTTCACACGTAATTATAATGTCAAACTTGTCTTTGGACACCTGAAATCGTTCAGGCTCAGGTTTGATTCTTCGATTTCTATCCAGCATGTGAAGAAGACCATTCTGGGTGTATCTGCATTAACAGTTAAGGAACATCAATTTCACTAATACAGTACAGGAGGGCCCAGCTTTACAGCACTTCTCTTTATGGTGTTTCGCTAATGCAGCGGTTTTCAGTTATACCCATTCTTTATTTATGCAAACTTCCTACAATATACTCACCGCTCACTATAAGCTAAGGACAAAAATATTTTAACCCTTTCAGGGTCCGTGCCGTAGATCTACGACTTTACGTTGAGGGTCCAAACCATAGATCTATGCCAAAATTCTAGCGGCATCAAATTTAGCGCAGGAAGGTTGGTAGGCCTACATCTGAGAGAATGGGTCTGGGTGGTCAGTGTGCACACTATAGAAAAAATCTGTATGCCTGCATGGCATTGTGGGAACGCCGCCAAAGTAGCTTTGTTCATCATGCCTGGCGGCAAGGAGGCTCTCACTCCCCACTCACTCTCCTGGCGAATTCTGATTCTCCTCTTCACAACTTACAGTTCTAAGACTGATGGAAGTGGATCTGAAGAGGAATTCTATGGTTTTGAACCATATGGTACCATTGTACCATATGGTACAATGGTGCCATGTCATACAATGGTATCATATGGTACAATGGTACCATATGGTACGTTGTACCGTATGGCACAGGGTACAGGGACCCTAATGGAAATAAGTCTGTCTGGCTTTTTTTGGTTATCCTAGGTTCTCCAAACGTATGCTGCTATGTATGATAATCTATGTTACTTTATTTGTGTATACCTAAATAAACTTACTATGCCACATGTGCTGGAGTAAGTTTATTCAGGTGTACACAAATACAGTTACATAGATTATCACACATAGCAGCATATGTATAAAATCCTAGGATAACCCAAAAAAGTCAGGATGACTTATTTCCATAGGGATCCCCGTAGCTGTACCACATGGTGTCCTGTACCATATGGAACCCTGCACCATATGGTAACCTGCATCATATGGTACCCTGCACCAGATGGTACCCTGTGCTGTATGGTACCCTATACCATATAGTACAATGTGCCAAATGGTACCCTGTAACATATGATACCATGTACCATATGGTCAGTTGGAGATGTTGATGCCACCAGGCACCAGCCAAGACTGAGTGATGACGCAAGCTAGCTAGTGACAACGCAGTTTCCAAGACAAAGCTCTTTGTCATCCACTTCAAGGAACATGTGGAGTGGCTGTACATTTGTAAATATATAATAGAAGATTTTTTTTTTTTATCACACTGGCCGATTCCCACCAAGGCAGGGTGGCCCGAAAAAGAAAAACTTTCACCATCATTCACTCCATCACTGTCTTGCCAGAAGGGTGCTTTACACCCTTTGCATATTTTTGTTGTAAACTATTATTGTAAACAAAATAATGATGAAAATATCCATGTGTTTATTGTACTGAATACAACAGTACCATATAGTACCATATGGTACAATGCACCATATGGTACAATGAACCATATGGTATCATTGTACCATATGGTACAATGTACCTTATGGTACAATGTACCATATGGTACAATGTACCATATGGTACCATTGCACCATATGGTACCATTGTATTATATGGTACCATTGTACCAAATGGTGCCACTGCACCATACCCTACCATATGGTACCATTGTATCATATGGTACCATTGTATCATATGGTGCCATTGTACCATATTGTACCATATGGTACCACTGTACCATATGGTACCATTGCACCCTATAGCACCTAGTTGTACTTTAGCTCATTCTAGCACAACACATAGACAATATCAATTTCATTATGTTTATTAGCGACTATACTCTATATGACCAAAGTGCTTTAGCAGTATACTTATCCAAACCTCCCACCACTACAGAAATCAGTATTAGAACTCACCACATAATACAGGATATAAACAACCTCTATTTAAACCTAAAAGATGAATGATCACGTTGACCCTGATCTAAACCTCCATAATCTAACACACAATCAAAACTTATTGGAAAGTAACTGCCTTTATTACACAGCATCACAAGCCAGCACTATCCTGAACACTGCTCAAAGTCTATCAGTTCTTAACTACATCAGGTCCTTAAGCAAACACTATGATGACCTCCTGGCACTCCTTGAGTCACTAAAGACACCCTTCTCCTGCATTATTCTTACTGAAACCTGGCTTAAGCAGGACACAATTGAAATCTACCCTCTACCAGGATACACAGCAATCCACAACTGCAGACCATACCAAGTTGGGGGTGGTACTGCAATCTATTACTCTAACCAACAATCTTGCATTAGCACTAATTGCTTTAGTAATGAATATGGGGAATACATTTTTGCTAATTTTACTGTAAAAAACCTCAAGACGCCTATAACAATCGGTGCCATATATCGGATACCCCACACAAACATCCCAAACTTCAGTGAGAATCTAAAGTCACTAATAACAAACAGACAAATGATCAAGCACCACCTTCTCTTAGCTGGAGACTTCAATATCAACCTTGGTCTACCAGATGATCAAACTGTAACTGATTTCATCAACAATATGAACAACACACTTATCATACCAACAATAACTAAACCAACCAGGCTGACTGAGACAAGTGCAACCATAATAGACCACATATGGACCAATATACTAGCCCCCCTTAAATCAGGGATAATCACAGATAGCACTACTGACCACTACCCAACCTTCCTCTTAACAAACATTAGTAAGCCACAACTAGAATACAACAAAGTTTCATTTAGACTCCATGACGAGGCCTCTATAAGGAATTTCAAAGCAGACCTAGAGACTGTTGACTGGCCTACAGAATTCTCCAATGCCAATGGTATTGATGATTGGACAGACATTTTTCTTAACAAAATACTTAGACTATACAACAAACATTGTCCTATAAAAACGAAACAGATCACGAATAAATGGCTTGGTTGCCCATGGCTAACCAGCAGCATTCTGAAATCCATTTATAAGAAACACCAATATGAAAAGCAATATAGACAGGGCTTAATACACAAAGATATTCTTAAACAATATTCAACAGTTCTCACCAAATTAATAAAGAAAGCAAAACAACTGTACTACTCCAGCAGATTCACTGACACAAGAGGAGGTATAAAAAAGACCTGGAAAACACTTTCCCAGATTCTGGGGACCCACAAACTGAAAAAAAACAAGAATATTGTTCTAACTAAACCTCATGAAACACCACTGCATCCCACCGATACAGCTAACAAGATAAACGACTTCTTCTCAAACATAGGATCTAATCTCGCCAGTAAAATCCCACGTACCAATGCCCGTGCCGGGGACTACCTAGATGGGAATTTCCCAAATTCCTTCTATCTTGTACCAACTGAGCCCACGGAAGTCACCATGATCATAAAGTCACTTAAAAATAACTCGGGGAATCTGTCTCACATCCCACCATTATTGTACAAGTGAGTGGCCCATGTCCTTTCACATGCTATTAAATTACTTTTTAACAAGTCACTAGAAACTAGCACTTTCCTGACACTACTCAAGACAGAAAGGGTTACACCAATATATAAAGGTGGTGACCCTACAGACGTAAACAACTATAGGCCAATATCAAACTTACCATTGCTATCCAAAATCTTCGAGAAACTCGTGCACAGAAGAATATATTCATTTATAACATCACAAAACATACTCAACCCCTGCCAATTTGGATTCAGCAAAAATAAAAGCACTAATGATGCAATTATAAAAATGCTAGACCTGCTTTACACAGCATTGGAAAATAAGGAATATCCGCTAGGAATTTTTATTGACATAAGAAAAGCGTTTGACACAGTAGACCATGGCATCCTACTTCACAAACTTGACCACTATGGTATAAGAGGCCATGCGCTTGCATATTTTAAATCCTACCTTTCTAATAGGTATCAGTATGTCACCATTAAAGACACAGCCTCATCAATACGGCCACTTGATACTGGAGTTCTGCAGGGAAGTGTCCTTGGACCCCTGCTCTTCCTCATTCACATCAATGATCTTCCAAACATATCCCAACACTTGAAACCCATTCTCTTTGCTGACGACACGACTTATGTCATCTCCCACCCTAATCTTGCCACCCTCAACACCATTGTTAACGAGGAGCTGCTCAAAATATCGACTTGGATGACAGCCAATAAACTTACACTTAACACTGGCAAAACCCACTATATTATGTTTGGTAGCAGAGCAGGTGTTGCGCAACTTAACATTAAGATCGACAACACACTAATTGCCAGACATAATGAGGACAAATTCCTTGGCCTATACCTCGACAACAACCTAAATTTCAGCACCCATATCCAACACATAACCCATATCCACACTTATCATTACTGTTAAATAGAGGATAACTGCAATTTAAAAATTCTATGGCATCCAGTCTGTTAACCCTTTCAGGGTCCACATGCCAAATCTCAGTGACAGCCAGGGTCCAAGAATTTTCAAAAAAAATTTCTATGCTTTTTTCTTAAGAAATGGTAGAGAATCTTTTTCTGAAGGCAATAAAGCAAAAAATTTGAAATTTGATGGAAAACTGATGAAATTATGCTCTCACAAATTTTGATGCATCAAAGATATTTACACATTGGCGATTTTGCGGACTTTGACTCCCATTTTAGGCCAATTACATTATGCCAGTCGACCAAATTCTTAGCTATTTCACTAGAATTACTTCTATTTTATCGATTGAGAACAAGAAATCACCCAGTTAACTGTTTCAACTACCCAATAAAGTGATCGGAAATTGGTAATTTGGCCATTTTAACACAAAGTTCAAAATACAGCGTCTCCTCACTTACTGACGTATTCATTTACCAACAACTCGGAGTTACGATGGGCTCTGATGAGTCATTATTGTATACTGTACAAGAACTTGGGTCATGAACAGGCAGCACAGCATCTCAGCATCAAGTATCTGAATCTCCTTCCTACAGCCACTCAGTACACTAGCTTTCACAGTCTCCAAACCTACATAAATGTACAAAATTCCTGTTGTTTTTC